GAATTACAAATAGGGAAACAAGTTTGATAATTTGAATCTAGTTTGTACCCTACATAACAATTAGTACATTTGTTAGGATTATCTGTGCATCCATAACAACTTTTATCACAAGGTACACATAGATTATTCTACATTACGTAATTAAAAGCACATCTCTTACAAGCTGTAGGATCTTAAAGAGCTGTACATGTATCACAACTTTCATGGCAATCCATACGACATCTTTTATTATATTCATCATATTACCATCCATCAGCACATTTTATGCATTTATATTCTCGTTCAGAGCAAGTAGCACATGATTCATCACATTTTTAACATCTACCTTCTTCGTTTAGGAATTAGCCCTCTCTACAAATAGTGCATTTAGTGGGATCTCTAAAAGCTGAGCACTCAAGACAAGAGATATCGCATGTATTCATAGATACACATTTACCAATAAACTTATCCATTTCATATCCTTATCCGCAAGTTGTACACTCTGTAGCTGAGTTGAAACAATTTTCACAAGGATATTAGCAAGGTTGGCAAGTATTTCTAGAGTCCAAATATTAACCAGCAGGGCAAGAAGTACATTGATTTGAATTTGGGCCAGAGCATGATTGGCAGCTAGAGTGACAGGTAGTATCAACACATTAGTTTCCTTAAAGCGAAAATCCATCATTACAAGATAAGCATTGATCGAATAAAGGACCAAAGCATGCTGAACAGTTAACAGAACAGAGAACACAGCTACTAGTGGCTTGATCTCCGTATTATTTGTATGGACAAGTGGGTTTGCAAGTGTTATCAAAGTTTTTGAATTATCCAGAGGGGCACTTATTAACACAACGAGAACCATCCCAAACTTAACCTTCACTACATATTTTAGAGCAGTCGGCACCACCATATCCTTTGAGGCATACACAATAACCATTATTACAGACACCATTGTTAGAGCAATTATTGGGGCATGACTTAGGGAAATTACAAAACAAATCAAAATCATGAGGACATTTCATAATACCTTGAGTTGTTTTAGTTTGATCAGCTAAGTTAATGACTTAATTGGGGTATTTGCAAGTAATGTATTCATCACCCCATACATTAACTTTAATGGAAGA